TTACTGTCTGGGAATGCAGAAAGTTTTGCCCAAATGGATGGAATGTTCTGGTGGGAAATAAACTTGCTATCATGACATGCTGGGATTTATATATTTTTTAACAGCTAAATATACATGTTCCGTTGTGTATGGATGTACTCAGCTATGCCAGAAACGGGAACAGCAGACACATGCACAACCACACTTCCCAGCACGAAAATATCAAGCCATCCACCAGTGAAAAGAGATTGGGAGGTGTGGTGTTCACAGCCACCAGCACTTCTCACAGCCTTTGGGAGTGTTTTGGAAAGAAAGTACTTTATCCACTTGGATAAAGTCTTGGAGTGGAAGTAGCCCAGTAGGTGGAGGACTCTGGGTGATACTGGAAAGCACAAAGAGCAAATAGTGACAACTTTGGCTTCTGGACTGATTGTTTTGTTAACACCCCTCCTGTCCCACCACGGCACATCCACTTTTGTGGGGATGCCTGGCAGGATGGCATAGGAACAATACCAGGAGTGTTTAATGTGCGCAGAACCCAACACTGACTTCCTTGGCAAAGCTTTTGAGGTCTCCTGAGGAAAAGTACTCTTAGCAGCCAGGTGTTGCTTCTCACTGATTGAAAAAAATCTAAGGAATAGTTATAACACTTGAGGATTTTTCTGCAAGTCTGCATACCTATTCCTAAAGGAACACCTCTATACTCAACCATCCATCTTCCATTCTCACTGTGCTAGCTGCTCTTGTTGTGAGGACGATCCATGCAAAATTATGTCCCTCTTAGTTTGGTGCACTGTCAGACAACGTTTTCCCTGTTTCCATGTTGCTGCCACATCCCGACCTCAAAGAAGCGATCTCAGTGTGTCCTCTTCATAAAACTACAGTTGTGTTCCCTCCTCTGCTTTCTTTTATTTTTTTTTTTTTATGGCTGATGTTATCTTCTATTATTTTAATTACATGCTTTAAGGATGCCTGCTGCACAGATCATTGATGGAGTTTGATGTTTGTTAATATCACGTTGCGTTATGGAAATCTGGTGCATTAAGACCTTGGTGTCTTTCCAAATTATTCTGAAGATATAAAAAACTTAATAAGCAACCCACTTTAACTAATGCAGACTAATAGGTTGAGAAGAGAGGAGGTGAGCCTGAGAGCTTGATTGTTTGTGGGACTGTAAGTAAAATGATTCAAAGAGCCCTTGATTGAAATTTGTTCATTAAGGTCACAATTTGGCATCAGAATTAGGGGTAGGACTGGTGGGGATAGTAGAAACTAGTTTGTGGTCAAATCAAGTCAACCTTCATGCTTGCATTTAATTTTTCCCCAACCAGCAATTTGTCATTAAAAGCCAACACTTAGCTAAATCAGGTGCAGATGGTTGTTTTTATCAAATGAATGATGTTTTATCACTTTAAAAGCTTTTGTTTTTAGTCAAGTGAAGGAAGTGGGCAGCACTCCCTTGTTTTTGAAAGAAGAAGAGCATATGCTTTTTAATTTGAAATGTAGCACTAATAGCATTATCCACAGGGGATAGGCTGTGCTATTGTGGGTTGTGGATAATGCATTTATGCTCAAATATCCTTTATTCCCTTCTGAGTGAAAGAATTTAACAGCATATTGTATTACCGTGCCATAGAGAGTATAGTTTACTCTTAGAATGAATTTTTTGACAGTCTCAACTCTGTTTTTGTTTCTGTTTTGTTAATTATGAGGGAATTTCTTGATGAATTTGCAATGTTCTTTTAACACCGTGCAAAAAAATGCCTTCAACCTACCATGAACGATGAAAAAATACTGTAGAGGGGAGATCTGGAGATAATGCAGTCAAGAGCCAGAGACAGTTTCAAAAATAGCTTTTCTGACACATCCCTTTTTTGCATTTCTCGGTCTCTGCTCTCTTCTCAACACAAGTTGGTGCTCATGCTCACAATGGTGCCAAGCTGAGGATGCTGCGAAACGCAGAGAAGAAAGCTTGAGATGAGGAAACTCGGTCCATTAGTGACTTTCTGTAGCAAACTCATTTTCCCCGGGGCTGTAAGACAAATGGTTTAATAACCCAGAATGCTGTGCTCTTTGCTTCTGCAAAGTCGACTCTCTGCATTCAGCTGTGTACCCACAGGTATCTCCAACAACCTTCTGGGAAAATGCTGAACAAACGGAGATCGCGACTTGGAAGCCCGGGGCTGGCCTTGCATTGTTTGCTTTTTATTGTAAGGCTTATCTCACTGTGTCATATGGCTAAAAACTGGAGCCTTGCCTTCAAGATAGCAATGGGAAGGCAAGAAAGCTTGTGAGCATTTGTCTTCAGGTCAGTTTTATAAATGAATATACTGATGCAGACCTCAACAGAACGCAAGGGAGAAACTCTGAGCATGAAAAAGCAAGTACAAGTCCTGACTTCTTTTCTGTCACGTGGCTTTCAGGAAATGGAAAATGTGAACACTGCTCTCACGCGTTGTCATCAGAGAACTGGCTGTGCTCCAGGAATATTGTCAAGTGCTGGACTGGTGCTTCCAGGCTGACACAGCAGGGATGGGCACAGCCAGCCCAGCTGCAGGCACATCTGGGAAATGCTGCTGAGTGCTGTTCTCAGTTCCCATCTGCTCACAAGATCTTGGGATGTAGTGTCAGAGACACCAAGCCAAACTTGCTGGAGATGCTGGAATAGAGTTAGCTTACTCAGGATGGGAAGAAGGCATCACCACCCATGTGCATGGTGTCCAGGTGGAATGGTGGAGAAGAGGAGGGAATGGGTTTTTGAAGACACTCTTGGCTGTGAGGGCTCTGAGTGCTCTATGCCCTACAGCACTGTAACAGAAATGTTAAGTCAGAGCCTGAAGCAGTGACTGAGCACCTGGTGGGAAGGCAGGGCCAACCAGGGGAGCTCAGCTGCATGTAGTTCACCTGAGTGACTGGAGGGGCTGGAGCCAGGATCCATCCCTTCCCAGACCTCATTTAAGGGTTGGCAGTGGAGGCAAGGTTTTCTTGCTGGAGATCCTTGCCTACCTGTGGCCTTCCAAAGGTAAGAAATTTTCTTCCTTTGTTTTTGTGTTCATGGCTGCTGTGTTTGTACTTGTTCTCATTTGCTGCAGCTTAGGAGTTTGCCACTCTGCTCTTATTGCTGTACTTTCCATTATGTTATAACATTACAAGCAGGAAACAGAAAGTAGGGCTGCTGTCTCTTAGGAGAGTTCAGCTGAAATCAAGCCTGAATGTGGGCTGACCTGCTGCTGGGTAGCAAGACCTTCACCTGCCTCAAGCATCCTACAAATGGAACAACAGTGGTGTGGTATCCATCCTAGTGCTGTTCTAGAAAGCATGCTAATATCTGTGTCTTCTTCAGGAAAGATTACTTGTACCTAGTTTTAGCCATTTAAAAGTTGAGGTGTTTAAGCTGGTGAGCCAGGTTTCATCTACAGGCTGTGGAGAGAAAGGGTGAGTCACCTCTACCAATGTGTCTAAAGTGGGTGGCATGATTCATCCTTCGAAAGCAACAGCCTCTCTTTCTATGGCTTAAATGAGTAGCTTCAGCTAAAAACCTAACTTTCTGGCAGAAAAAAAATCCAGTTTCATTATTACCCAAATTTGCCCTGAGCTACTTTCAAAATTCAGAGCTACATATGTGAGAAAGTTTACTTCTTGGCCCTTTCAAAGGACTGTTTTGTTCTTCCTCCTGGGATCGGCAGATCTTTGTCCTTCAAAATGGTGCTGAGATGGTTTTCTCAAGTTTCATAGAGTCAGAGAAACTAAAGCCTATTGGGAGGATAAGTAGAAGTCACTTAGCCCATCCCCAAACCCCAGGCAGAAAGCTGCAGCTAAGTTGTGTTATCCTTAGTGCTTCGTCCTTCAACAATATCTTCCAGAAGTCAGTGAGAAAATTCCAGTTGTCTTCAATGGGCTTTTATCCGAGCCTGCAGAGAGAGCAATAGAGAAAATTCAGTTGCAGAGACAAATCAACAGAGGGGAAAGGTAATAGCACAAGAGAACTAAGGGATGTAAACATGAGAGGGGGAGAGGGAAACCAGGAGAGCTGCTTTAAAGGCCCAGCAATGGAGGAACATAGAGGCAAGGCTCACTGGAGAGGAGATGTGGGCAGGGCGAGAGGGACAAGCTTGTACCCTTGAAAGAAGCCTCTCTCCAGTGCTGCAGTGTCACATCCATTTGAAAATGCCTAACTGCTCTTCAGTTTAATCATAGCTGCACTTTTGGGTATAAGATGAATAATTAAGCCTGGGAGTAGAATACAGCAAGTGTTAATAGAGCTAAAGGTACTGCAAAGCCCTTATAAAAAGCTGTGCTTGCAGTGCCGAGTGGCTGCTGTTCTCTGCGTCCCCAATCACAAAGTGAGGAGCATGAAAGTGCTAAATTAAATGAAGTGCATCTGTATCTATTCTGCTTGATGTTTTTCTCTTCTGTGTTTTGTACTACTGCATGCTAAATAATACCCTGTCTCCCACAAAGGTTGAATGGTCTAATTCTACATCTTCCTCCCAAATCAAACAAGGTCAGACAACCTGCACATTGTAGAATTATAGAATTGTTTGATTTGGAAGGGACTCTTAAAGGCTGTCTTGTCCAACTCATGCAGTGAGCAGGGACACCCAGAGCTCCACCAGGCTGTCCAGAGCTGGATCCTTCATGCCTGCCCACAGGTACATTCTCTTACATTTTCATTTTAGACATTAACTTACATATGAGGGCTTAAAGAGATAAATGAGTATGAAGTGGTGGTGCTAGGGACTCATTTTTTTCAGTGCCTTCAAGGTTGCTTCCTATTGCTGTCCCAATTCAATCCATAAGAGGTGGTAATTAAACAGTGTCTGAAAAGACCCTGTCCCAGCTACATTGGCAGCACTTGGCTCTTGCAGAGGACAGTGTGCAAGGGTTCACTCCTGTGAGGAGGGATGAGATGGAGTTCCATGTTAAATAGCAAACACAAAGATCCTCTTGTAGGTCCTCATTTTCCATACGCACCCAGTTAAACTAATGTGAACTAATCAAATTAGGATGGGAAGGAAGAGAAGTGGTTATTTTTAAGTACTTGAGAGATGTTTGGGAATGGGAGGTCACTCAGGTGAAGAGGGAGGTCAATAAATAGAAAGAAGGAAATTATTTTTACCCATAGCAGGTAAGGTATTTTTAGAGCAATCACCTGAAAGATCCCTGAACTACGCAGAATGATGAGCACTGCTCACACAGCAGCAGTAATGGGAGCTACAACTGGCACGGATCCATGGTCCCCAGCTTATTTCAAGTGAGATTTCAGTGTAATGATTTTTTTTTTTTCCCCTTTTCGCCCCCCTCCTGTGCTTACTGCCATGGCTGGGGTTACCTCAATGATCTGACTCTCGTATGGGCATTTGTGGAATTTTTCCATTCTTGCTATGTGGATATTTCCTCTCTTCTTTGGCCTGTGTTTCATCCATTTATCTTGACTGCTCTGCTCTCACTTGTGTGAAATGGAAGAGACAAAAAGCTGAACCTCCACAGGCAGGTGGGAAAAGGGCTCCTTCCTGCAGGACTTGTGTGTGTTGGTGGTGGGAGGGTGAGACGTCACTGGGTTTTATTTTCACTTTTGGCCTTTTTGCACACTACCCCACGTGGTTTCACCAATTTTCAACATCACACTTTGTCAGCAAGAAGACAGGACCAGCGCCTTCATTTCTTGTAGTCAAATTTAGGGGAAGGCAAATGTCTTTAGATGAGGATAAACTTAGAACTTGCATTCCACAAACATTCCTCAGGGATGTCATAGACAGGACCACCAGCCTGAGTGTGCAAAGAACAGTATTTGATCTCCAGCCTTCTTAGAAGGGGCCAAATCCTCCAAGTGAGGAAGGTGTCTCAGTGTATCCCTCAACCTGAATTGGTATTTTTTTCCTCTCAGACGCCGGGCTTTTGAGTAATTCAGTACATTGATGTATTTCTGCTGTATGGGGGAAGCAGCTGCTTGAGAGGCATTTTCCTATCTTGCATTATCTGCAACCTTGAGCTGGATGTCTTGCTGCATCCTCCCTGGCCACTCCATTGAAGACGGTGCTGCTTTGCCTTTGTGGTTTTCCCAAGTGAGGGCAGTGAAAGGGCATTTTTTCTTTCAAGGATCAGAGCAAAACAAGGAAGATGCCAAATGATAAATATTTGACTTTCGAAGATGAAAAAAGGAAGAGCAGCATCAAGGGAATCAATCTCTTGGGATGTCCTGTGGTCTGAATGTACATTTTGTATCGCTGAGGTAGGAGCTGGGGATGCAGAGTGTAAAAATGTGAGTTTTACAAGGAAAAAGAATCATCCAGGAGACCTCTGGGAAATCACAGGATGTGTGTACACCTTATGGTTTGTACAAAATTAAATGTTTTTTTCCTCTCAGAGATATTGATCCTTGCTCTTTTATTATCATGATTATGTTTTTTTTCCACTTGCTTCGTTTTCCATATCCCTGTCTTTCAGATCCCTTGTTTGAGTTGGTCCTATTTATCTGAACCAGGTTGGTAATCCTCATTTCTTTTCTCTTTTGCTCTCAATAATTATAGGTCTCCTAGGAAAGCTGGCCTTCAGTAGAAATTTTGTTGAGGTTTTGAAAAGATTTTATTAGAAAAGATTTGGATCCTGCACAATTATCAGTTCTGAAAGGTGCTTTGCCCACCTCCTCCAGTGGAAGTGCTATTGATCATCTCACAAAAGGATGGCATGCACTTACAGAGAGAAAAGTTGAGGTCTGGTTGTCTTTTCAACATCAATGATAAAATTGCATCTAATGTTCACCTCATTCACCTTAGCTCCACTGGTCTGCACTAATTAAGGTGGAGCAAGCCGTGCCAGTTAATAAAGAACACTGTAATTCAGCTTGTGCTAGTCCATGATTGCAACAAGAGGAAAAACCCATTAAATGATTGCAAAGATGGGCTTTGATTAATAGAGATAGATGGGGCTTTTGTTCCCTGATTGTATGGCATAGACTGCAAAACCCTGCCACTATCAATGGCTTAGATGTAACACTCGAAATATCATCTCTCCCTTTAAAGCTGGGCTCTATCTTGTAAAATCCCTCTGTAAAATATTGCAGACGATTGTCATAATTCTTTTTTTTTCCTCCAAAAGCACTGTTCTGCTTGGCCAGATGAGCTGCTGTTCTGCTCCAAGGCCTTGCACCCAGGGAAGTCGCATCCCATGAGAGAGATGACTTTTTGGAGCATCACCTCATTTCCTGTAAGCTAAACACCAGAGGAGTTTACAGAATATTTTGCTCATAGGTCTATTGTAGATGTCCATAGGTGTATTAACTTTGGTTCCTTCTATCCAGGATAGCTCTTAATCGCTATCAGAACAGACTTTACATATGTCACAACCACAAACCCTGCTACATGTTCCCGTCTCCTCTGCGCTGTGCCACTTATGGACCACAATCCTGGGAAATCATAGGAAGTATATACACCTTATGGTTTGTATAAAACTAAACAATTTTTTTTCTCTTGCATACATTGATCCTTGATCTTTCACTTTTTTTTTTTTGTTTGCTATCTCTGACACCAGGTGCTGTGTGATGCCTTCGGCCTCAGCTATGGGGAATGTGATGCACACCAGTGCTGACAGACTGGCTGGAAGACTGAGGTGTGGGACAAACACTTGGTGCAAACCCATGAGCTTCACACAGCCCAGCCTGATCTGAATCAGCACGTGTGGTGAGACACTGGAACAGGTTGCCCTGTGAGGTTGTGGATGCTCCCTACCTGGGAGCGCTCAGGGCTAGGCTGGATGGGGCTGTGAGCAACCTGGTCTATGAAAGGTGTCCCTGCCTATAACAGGGGGGTTGAAACTAGATGAGTGTAAATGTCCCTTCCAACCCAAACCATTCTATGATTATAGCTGTGTAGACAGGAGACAGAGCAATCATGGATCAATCCTTCCTCCCAGCAGCTCCCAGGCTCTCTCAGGAGCACTAAGAGTGGTCTGCGTGTACTCAGCAAGGCCAACTTTTCACACCCCATTAGCCCAGATGTGATGAACCTCACTTTCCACAGCCAATTCTGCTGATGGAGCTGACCAAGATTTTTTTATTCCCAGCTGAACAGTCTTCTCTTAAAGAAAAGCAAATTCAGCAAAATATATATTTTTGTTGACATTTTTTTTAATGGGAAATTATTGAAACACTTCCATTTTAGCATTTGGCCAATTCTGTCTCATCTGGCATGAAGTAATCAAAATCCAGCAGAGAAGCCCTCACTGGAATTACCTCTTTCAATCATTTAATGCAGTTCTCCTTCAAGAAGGCTGTTCTGAGATTCCCAAGCTGAAATAGAATGGGATGGGATGTTGCCTCTTACCCTACACTTTGACAGTGCTTTTCATTTAGCTTTGGGGCTTTCCTCCACAGCACACAAATATTGCTCCAGAAAGCTGCATTTCTAAGGAGGAAGGTTGTCTTGTACCAACTGAATCATAGACAGGATGGTTTGACTCAAGGCATGTAGGAATTAACAGTTGCCACAGCAGAGCTCCTCATGCAGCCAAGGCAATGCAGAGAGGAGTTGACGAAGGGAGACCTGTCTGGTTTTATAGTGACAGATTTCTTTGCATAATGCATTTTGGGTGAAGTTTCAGGTTTATTTTGTACTTATCTGATGTCAGAAGAGTACATATTAAGTCTTCAAGGAAAAAAAAAAAGGTTTTCTTATAATCAGCTTATTGCAGCCTTCCATGTATAATAACACAGTTATATGGCAGTAAACCTGGAATCCTACTGGAGTTTGTTGTAAAGTGACAGATTCAGGTCAAAGCTGTTAATGAGCAGCCAGGCTGATGTGTTATGCATAATGAAGAAGAAAATGACATTATTGTTTTACAGGTGAGCTTGGAAAGTTAGGATATGCCAGGTCCATTAGAGCAACTGTGTATCTTGAAGTTTAATACCTTGCCTCTGGCCAGTACTTGATAGTTCAGAAAAACTTGGGCTATTTTATTGCTGATAACTAAAGGCACGCTGTAGATACGTGGTTTTTGGCTACTTAGCTTCCTCCTCCCTGGCAACAAGCCCTAGATGTCCCAGTTGACTCTTCTGTAGGTGCAGACTTGGAAGGGTGCTGATATGGGGTGGGTGTGACCACTCAGACCCATATTTTCTTCCTTGCTCTGCCACAATGAGACCCAGTGCAGCTGTTTCAATGTCTGTTCTGTCTTTCTTATCTGAAATGAATGCTTTTTGGGGAATGTGTTTCTCATGCCCCTCTTGTCTAGTTGGCTATTTGTTCCCTAATGTTTCTTTGTACTTATTTTCATTAACTGGAGCCTATAATGAATGCACAAGTAATACTGGCCTGAAAAGAACAAACAAACAACAGAACATTGCTCATCCCTTGAGGAATATCAAAGTAGTAAAAAAGCACTTTGGAAATGGGAAGAGATGCAAAAAGACAAAAGCAATCATTTCTGCTTCAGCATTTCCTAGGAAGAAAGGGCAGCAAGCAAATACCCTAACAAACGGATGACAGGCAGGTCCTCCTCCGTGAGAGTGACCCTTGAAAAATGATTGGGAACTTCAGCTGTTGTCACATGCGTTCTCTTCTTAATTGGTGCTCTCCTGAGATGCTTCTTAAAATGAGGTCTCCTTTCTGCTATGTCTCTAAAATGCCATCCGCTCTGGTGTCTTGGTGCATGACTGAGGTCTCCTAGTGCCACATCTGAGATATTAATTCTCATTAAGAAGTAATGCAATTTGTGTCTATTTGGATACTTGCTGTGCTTTTCACTGGCTGTTCTGGGTGTGGTGTAAGAGTTCATATCTGTCTAATGCCCACTGCTTGGGATGACTGAACCCAACACAGGCACTGAAATTAATTCAGTAATTCAGGCTAGCAAGTTGCTTTGGGATCTCAGCACTCCCAGGCCTTTATGTCACTGAGAAGTGGGACTCCCATAGAACTCAACACCCACTACCAGTTATTGACAACTAGGGATCTGAGCCAGAAAAATATGTTGTCATGACCTTAACTCACGGTTTTGAATGGTCCTTTTGGCTTTCATACATACACGTGCTCAGTATTGCAACCCTCAGTGCTCAGCACTATGCAGGACTGAGCCCCTCACTAATCCTTCTGAACCCAAGTCTATTGACTTTCAAAGCAAACCGCAAGGGCTTCTTATCTACATTTCCTGAGCAAGCTGCTTGCTTAGGCTGAGCCTTTTGCATTAGTCTTCACCAGAGTTGATTTTGAGCAGTGAACATGATTAGATTTTCATATCAAGAGAGACTGAAAGTATGGAGATGGTTGCCAAATATCCAGGAGTAAGTCAGGAGCGAACTCCCTTCTTTCTGTAGTTTGTGAAAGCACATCAAGATCAGAATTAGTGCCTAATCCCAACCCAGACAATATCCAGGTTTTGTTTTCTCACTCTGGAATGAAACTTAACAGAACCCTGAGCCTGAGTGTCTTAGGAAGCATGAAAACCAGATCTCAGTTGTTAGCTGCATGACATTTGTATAATCTGATCCTGTCATCACATTGCAGAACAAGATTCAGCCCTAAATTACACCACAACCCAACTCAGACAAGCTGCATGTTGTCAAGAAGCCTGTCCCAGAAAACAGGCTGAAATAAGGATTGTTTTGCCTTTAGAATATTTCTGTTGCTGGCTTCTCTTTGCACCAAAATCAGGCAAAGGCAGTGCTTTCAGGCTTGACCTGAGTGTTTGGGGTGTTTTAAGATTAACGCTAAATCCATGCCATGGTAGCACATTGTTGTGTATCTTTGTTGAGGTCACTACTAGTGCCTGTGAGAGTGGGGGCAGCAAAGCTGTCAGGGAAAATAAAAGCACCTCCTGTCCTGATGTCTCTCCTGTTGATATAATGATCTGATGGCTGAGACTAAAAAAATGATGAAATATTCCTATACACATGAATATACACATGCTTTTTTGTGTTTCTGGCTTCATGATATCAGGTCTCTTGACTTCCTTGAATTTAGCAGCAGCTCTTTGCTCTGCTCCTGACAGCATCTTTGAGCTCTCATGACTTCAGGTCCCCTTGGCACACCCTGTCCTAAGAGACTGAGCACTCTGCAAAGCCATCAAAGCTGAACTCCTTTTTCCCGTTTAGACAAGTCTATGTTCTAGATGAGATGAATGACAGGTATTCAAAAGCAGGTGTGGCTCAGATAACTGAAAAGTAACGTTTACTTTCAGCTCCTATTTCCATCAGAAATACTGAATTTAAAATTCTCTCTTTTTTAAGGCTACTTTTAGAATTTCAGCCAAAATAATTCAGTTGGCCATTTTCTACTGCAGGCTGTGGTGCCGGCAACTCCCAACACAGCTCACAGCAAGGTATCACTGGCAACATAAGGCGTCTTGGTGATTTTCCTTTTTCATTTTCTTTCTTTGTGCTAGATTTGTTTGTGTTTTTCCATGGCATGAAAATACTATTTTGAGCTGTACTTACATGGTGTGTTTTACATACGGAGATAATGAACTGGTGTTGTTCATTATTGAGCCAAAACTGTTAAGAGGGAAGGGTCAGTGACAGGATTGGTTTGGGGAGTACGACAGTCCTCCTTGCGCAGTGAGGTCAGTAATCCAATTTCTTTTGCCCTACTGTTTCTCCTCAGGGTCATCTAACCAGATCCTTCTCCTCCGCAGGCTCTGCTGCAGTGATAATTTTTTTCTAGCAATAATACCTTTCGGAGTTCTCTAGGGGAGGGACCCATGGCCTGTTTTTTCTAGGTCTCTCCACGAGGTCAGATTTCTTTCCTGCCTGTGTTGTGAGGAAAGCAAGCACTGGAGGGCAATGGGAATCACCCAGTAGTTGCACTGCTCTGCCGCACACCACTAACAGTGAGGGCACAGAGTGGTGTGGCTGGATCCATGAGCCTCGTGGAGATGCATCTAATGGCACGGAGTTGTTCCTGGTGGTCAGGATTGCTATTGGCAGTTTTGAACGTGAGGTTTGTTTTGTGCATCCTGAGAGCGCAGATTGCACTGAGTTGTTTTTTTCTTGTTACAAAAAAGGAAAGTCATCTTGGCTTGAAGAGTGGACTTGTATCAAGCACTCATCTCATGCCAGGAAAAGTCGCAAGTTGGAAATTCAAGATGGGGAGCTGAAATTTCTAACAAGTTTTCTTATAGAGCTTTCAGTCCTCGCTGTTTTTCAGGTTCATTTGATTTATAGAAAATTAATAATTCTGCTGACAATTCTGATGACACTCAGAGAAGTTAGTTTATGCTTAGAAAAAAAGAAAGATTACTGGAAGAAAGTGCAGAGAAGATGGGAGGGACTTAGTTGATGTGTGGTTTTGAGAAAGGATCTTGACCAAGGACCATGATTTGCCTGGGTCCAGCAGCTCCATTTCAAACCATTCAGGCTGGAAGGAACGTGGAAATGTCTTGTTTGTGACCTCCTTATGCCCTGTCTTATCTCCCTCCTGCCTCTCCCCAGACATCTAACTGCTATCACCTCCTGTGTCTCTGCTTTCAGACAAGAACCTGCAGCACCTGAGCCTTGTGATGCTTTCCCTTCAGCAAGGTTCATCAAGGAAAATGCTTTAGCTGGAGACAGGAGAGCACAGTCTGGGCTGCCGCTCAGCACTGAGAGCTGAGCAGTCGGACTGGGGATCTTGCAGTGTGCTCTGGTGCAGGAGATGCCATCTGCCAAACAGCCTCCCGAGTGGTGTTTTAGCAAGTGGGCTAAAATGAACATCCTGTGCACGGCAGCTGAAGTCCGTCACAGCTGTCACGGGAACTTGCATGCACAGCCCGGGCTGGAGGTGGATCTGGCTCTGCGGGGAGGCTGGGCATGTGGCCAAGAAACCTCCCTTCTTTGCCTATGTTTCCTTTAGGGGAAGGGAAATGCTGGCTTAGCACAGCCAGAAATTGCTCAGAGGAACAGGATAGTACTGAAAAGCATTGGCATTCTTGGGTGCAGCTCACCCAGGCAGACACTGACACCTCTAACTGAGCTTGTCAGAGCCTCGTGGCCAGCCCTGCCTTTTTTGAGGTCACAGTCATGAGTACCGTTGTCCCCAAAAGCAGCACATGTTCTTGTCTGCAACAGCAAACAGGCTTTCTGAGAAGAGAAAAATAAGAGCGGGAACACCATCCCTCCTTTGTTTATCCCTATCATCACCTCCACCTTAGTCCTTGTGCACCTATCTCAGATGCTTGCAGGACATGCCTGCTCCAGGACATGGCTGTTGGAGCTACAGAGGGGAGCCTGGGGGTGAGTAGGGCCATGCCCTTAGCTTCTGAGGAGGGCAAAGCTGCTGTGGTCCAGACTCTTCCTGATGATTTCATGTGAGAGCTAATTAATGGCCTCCCCACGTCTCCATAGCAACTCCATGCTGTGCTCTTCGCCCTGATCCAAATGGGCATTCTGTACACTTCTGAAGCCGTAGCATCAGCATATTAATAAGATTTGCTGACGTCCTTTGCTTTCTGCCATATTGGCTGAGAACTCTAAATTTGAATAACTTTTAAAAAGCACTTTTCTTAATCAGCTCCTTGTCCATTCTCTCATGTGACTTGAAGCAACTGATCCCATAAGTCTTCTGGATCTCGGGGCTAAAAGTAGGTGGAGTCTGCTCTACCTGCTGGTCTTTGCCATTCTCAGCCTTTAGGATATCCGCTGTCTGGCTTTTCTTTCTGTCTTTCTCTATGTTTTTTGGGGTTTTTTTTTTTGTTTTTTTTTTGTTTTTTTTTGTTTTTTTTGTTTTTTTTTGTTTTTTTGGAAGCTCCAGCTTCCACAGAGTCCCTAACTGCAGCAGGTGACAAGCATCTGCCACGAGTCAGTAGGACCACCCCAGTACTATCTGGGATGGACCATCTCAGAGATTGCTCCTTATCTTCTGCTTATATGGGAGAAGGGAGTTAAGCTCCATTCTCATCACCAGTCAGATGATGATTACCCACATCTAAAAGTCTGAGGATCCCTTTCTAACACTGTACCAACATTTACCAGCCATGCTGCTTAGTGATCCTAATGTAACAGGTGAAAATACTCTCTCAGTGCAATCCTCCTCTATTAATTACCCTCCAATCTTACATTGCCTTGTAAAATCTTTTTCTGGCCGGGTGGAGGACTTGGACATGACTACCTCAAAAGACCATTAATATCACTGCAGCCCTGGTGTGCCCTCTCTGGTGTCTCTTATCCCAGCCAGAAGTATAGGAGATGACTGCATTGCTTGCAGATCAAATACCCAAAAACAAATTTGTGTAATCTGGTTCTGCACCTGGTAGTCACAGGTCCTTCTTACCAGGTAAGGTTTGATGGGACTGAGCAGTGCAAGCAGACTGTGTGCTCTGAGGTGCTACGAACATTTCACATTTGAAAGGTAGGGCGTGAAAATTTTCTCACTATGTAACCTGGACCCAGACATCTGTTTCTGTCATCAAAAGCAGAGGACAGTGTGGTCCAAGGCACAGTTGATCACATTATTTGGTTTTGCTTTTCCTTTTTATCTCTGACACACATTTTGAGCTCAAAACATTGTCTCATTGCACAATAGCTACATTTTCCTCTACCCTGAAGGACAAGAGAATTGATCCATGACATCTCATCTTCATTCCACCTCCAAATGTCATCCAGCCATGCTGCAACAGCTTTAGTGCACGGAAGCTCTACATCAGTGTTGTGATGTGCCATTATGCTTTGATGGCATGTCACCAGATCAGGAACTCATGAGGAACTTCCTATGCTAACGGTCTATCTGTGCTAAATTTCCTTCATATTCCTAGTCTGATTTTCAACACTCCAGCTTCATTATCCCAGCCACGGTGGAAATGCTTGTCTATGTCAGGTGACCCATCTCCAACCCCTCTGCTGCCTACCGTGGCTTTGGTCATGTCTGGACAGCAGTGACTTAAAGTTCTGTTGGTTCCCAATGTCTTGTTTAAAGTTCCTGGTGTTGCCCTCCTTGTCAAAGCACAGTATGATCGGGGTTGATCGTGCCCAGGCATCATTAGAAATACATGAGAGCAATCAATTTGATCTCTAACAGTCCCACAAACACCAGGCAAGATTTAGCTCATGTGTTGTTAGCTACCCACGAGATCTGAGATTTGATTGCAGCTTCTCTGGCTGCTAGTCACTAGAGCTGGATACTTATCTCATAGGAAAGCAATTTATCAAATTAATTTCACTTTATATAAGCACGTTCACTATTCCCAGCCACGAACAGATCCCATCATTGAATGCAGACTGCATCTCAGGCTATAGGTTGCTCATAAGCAGTAGTCAGTATTTTTAGAGTAATAACTATAGTTCTTTTTCAGTGTCAGCTCCTCAGGTCATACATGTAAATTAAAGAGTATATTTGTATTCCCTGCTTGGATGGATGAAACTGCCAGGAACATTATTTTCACTCATAATTACTAATTTGACATTCATTTCCCATGAATACTCTTCACTATTTGCTTAAAACTAGCTTCCATGCATACCATTGCCAATGAATTTTCCCTCATTGGAAAACTGACATGGAAATGTCACAGCTATAAAGAAACGTTTGAGTGGTGGGGTTCTATAAACATGAAACTCTGCTATGCAAACAAGGACCATTCAAAAAAAAAAAAAAATCAAAAAACCATTGAACAAATTAAGAAAAAGGCAACCTTGCAACCTCTTGCAGGGGCTGATCAGTAAAGACAGAAAGAGATCTCAATATCTGTTGGGGAAAACACAAAGCCACAGGTTACTACCAGCTGAAATGGATGCATGTCCCTAGAAATGTGTTTGTTGAATCCACTCAGATCTTCCTCAGGCTCATGCAGATCCCCCATTTGGTGGACACACAAGGGCTGATGTGTTCCTTTATGACTAGGATTCTGTTTTTTGTTTTCTCACTAACTAGACAGATAGTTTCTTGTATGCCCTCAATCATTAGTTCCGCAGGAGAGT